AAAGCGTAACTGCTTCGCGCGAGAAAAAAGCCTCCACGTCTACCACAGGAGAGGCACCACCGACGCTAAGAAGATTACTGGAAGAGTGGCTGACAAACACTCTGAACAACATACTTGATAAACCCGCTCAATGGGAGAATAGAGACATTACACATACATATGTTGCAGCAATCGCCGACGAATTAGATACCCTTACCCCTCCCCCCCCCTCCCCGCACAGGTAACACTCATACTACTGTTGACACAGGTAATGACGCACTCGCCGCCATTCTAAATAAAATGGAGGAAATGGAAAATGAGAATAAGGCGCTCCGTGACCAGATGAAGGAGCATCAAGAAAGGGTCTACAAAATACCAGGCGCCCCAAAGTTGTTACCAAAACGTGACGTTGGTCAATTAATCGAGCAGCCATACAATGAAGAAGCAGCCTCCCACGCCATTCCAAAAACCATTAAAATGCCACCGTACCTAAAAATATACGATGGTACTACAGAGCCAGAAGATCACATCATCCACTACGTCACAACCGTAAAGGGCAACGATTTTTCGAAAGAACAAGTACCATCGGTGCTGCTGAAAAAATTTGAAGAAACCCTCACAAGGGGAGCCCTGACCTGGTACTCGCAACTACCAGCACGGTCAATAGCAACATTTGAAGAAATGGCAGACAAGTTTATCACCGCCCATGTAGGAGCTAAAAAGGCAGAAGCAAGGGTAAACGATATTTTTGCCGTTAGACAAACGCCAGAAGAGGGACTCAGGGACTTCCTAGCCCGATTCAACAGGGTGAGAATGAGCCTACCAAATATGTCAGAGGGGATGGCGGTAGCAGCCTTCCAGAACGGGTTAAACAGGACTGGGTCGAGAGCGACCAAAAAGCTGTTAAGCAAGCTCATGAAATACCCTCCTACCACTTAGGAAGAAATCCACAATGCCTATTACGCCGAGGTAAGGGCCGACAACGAAGACCTCAACGGTCCGATCCATTGGCTGACATCAGCTCAAACTGAAGCAAGGAAAGATCGTCGCAATGACGATCGAAGGGACCAACTACCCCGTCTCAACCGAGAAAGACATCAGCCCTACATCAGGGCACCCATCCCACCTCCTCCGTGGCACACACATGTCCCACCTCGACATACCGCGCCATAGCGAAACGAAAGAGGTATGCCTCCGCTCTTATCTTCTCACAGTTTTTGTGTTTCTCCTTTAGAAATAGTGTACGCATTGGAGAAGCTCAGTTCAAAGGTGCAATGGCCGCAAATGATAAAATCCGACCCGAGCACCCGGAAGTCAAATGTTCTCTGCGAATTCCACCAGGAAAGGGGTCATAAAACCGAGGATTGCATAGGTCTGTAGCAAGAAGTAGTAAGAATGCTAAATCAGGGACACCTCAAAGAACTACTGAGCGACAGGGGACGAGTTAACTTTGCTCGCGGACGCGAACAACCACAAGGACCCCCAAAACCACCATCTCCCGCTCGTACCATACAAATGATTATCGGTGGAGGCGACGATACAACAGTCAACCATGTAAAGTTCACCACTACGCACAAACTCAAACGGCCGATCACTCATGAACTCTATGATGATCTCCAAGACAGTATCATCTTCGATAAATCAGATACCGACAGTTTGTCTTTCCCTCACAATGATGCTCTTGTTATCACTTTACGGATTGCAGATACTGATGTAAAAAGAATAATAGTTGATGACGGAAGCGGCACATGTATTATCCATCCTTGTGTCTTCGTATAAATGAGACTTGACGATAAAATAATACTGCGTTGCATAACACTAACGGGTTTTAATAATGAAGTCGAACGAACTTCTGGAGAGATAGTGCTACCCGTCCTAGCCGGAGGAGTCACCTTGGAAACAATGTTTCACGTCATGGATCAAGATACATCCTACAACGCTATCATAGGGCGCCCATGTATACACGCCATGCGAGCGGTCCCGTCCAGTCTCTATCAAGTAATCAAGTTTCCCACTCCATGGGGGATATTCAGCATCTGGGGCGAACAACGCACCGCACAAGAGTGATATCGCATCGCCCAGGATTGCGCACATACCCAGCAGCTAAAAGGAGCAAGTGCGGGAGCATAGCAATCAGCAATGTCGGGAACCAAACTCGACGTACAGATATACGCTATCAAGGATCCCGACACCATAGAGGCCTCTGAGTCGACCATAGAAGACCTCGATCCCGTCCAACTGGACAACGACGACAGCACAAAAAAGTCTTATATCGGGCACAATCTATCAAAACCATGTAAATTCCATAAATTCTATACTGGCAGTGCCGATTTGTTTGCCTTCTCCCATTCAGATATGCCGGGCATCCCAAAAGATATCGTCATGCACAAACTGAATGTTGACCCCCTCTACCCACCTGTGAGGCAAATGAGGAGAAAGTTCAACGCTGCAATCAAAGATGCAGTCAGCGAAGAAGTTGATAAGCTGCTCGCCAGTGGCTCCGTCTGAGAGTCAAAGTATCCCTAGTGGGTCGCCAATGTGGTCATGGTGAAGAAGAAAAATGGAAAGTGGCGGATGTGCGTTAATTTCAGAGACCTAAACAAGGCATGCCCAAAAGATTCCTTTCCATTATTGCACATGGACCAGCTCATCAACGCAACAGCGGGACACGAGTTGCTAAGCTTCTTAGATGCCTACTCGGGTTACAATTAGATTTTAATGGAAGAAGAGAACCAAGAGAAAACTACTTTTATCACTCACCAGGGAACATACTGCTACAGAGTCATGCCATTCGGACTTAAGAATGCGGGAGCAACCTACAAAAGGTTAGTCACCAAAATGTTCAAAAACCAACTTGGCAAAACAATGGAGGTCTACATCGATGACATGCTGGTCAAGTCTAAAAGGAAAGAAGATCACATCGATCATCTGAAGGAGGCCTTTGACATACTAAGGCAGGACGACATGAAACTAAATCCCAAAAAATGCGCCTTCGGCATAACCTCGGGCAAATTCCTTAGCTTTCTGGTATCGAGAAGAGGCATCGAGGTCAATCCAGATCAGATTAAGGCCATTGAAGGAATACCGGAAACGTTGAATAGAAAAAAGCAGGTACAAAAATTGATGGGTCAGATAGCCGCCCTGTCAAGGATCATCTCACGTTCATCAGATAGATGCCATAAATTTTTCAATGTGTTAAAGAAAGACGACGGACTCCAGTGGAATTCAGAATGTGTCGATGCCCTAAGAAAACTAAAAGCATACTTGTCCTCGCCGCCATTACTCGCCAAGGCAGATCAGGCGAGTGCCTCCTCGTCTACCTAACCGTCTCCGAAGTCGCGGTAAGCGCAGTTCTGGTCCGCGAAAACAAAGGTACACAATCCCCAATTTACTATATCAGCAAAACCTTAATTGATGCCGAAATGAGGTATCCCCACCTCGAAAAATTGGCTCTGGCACTGGTCATAACATC